GTCGCGTTTGCCAAAGTTCTCCGGGACCACTGGTGGGCCGTGTCCTTGACACCGGCGCCGGCGAGCGACGAGCGCGATTATTCGCGCAGGTACAGAACTACCGGACAAAGGAGTTGGTGGTGAAGAATAATCAGAGAGCCGTCCGGGTTCTGGTCGCTGGTCGCTGACCGGGTCAAGTTCTGCCAAGCAATAAAAACGTCCGGGTTCTGGTCGCTGACCGGGTCAAGTTCTGCCAAAATCTGCGCCAAGCAGATGGTCGCTGACCGGGCTTAGGTCGTAGCTTCAGCTCAAGTTTCACAGCGTGCAGGCGGGTGTTTGGGACAGGGTGACAGGGGCTTTGCTACAGGTTGTATAAGTAGATGTCATCACACAAGCCCCAAGTAAGCCCTAAGCTCTCAAGCCTCTGTAGTGTACTGCAGATCCCGGGACTATAAGACTTAAAAATTATATAAGACTATAGTTGCCCTGTCCCAGCGCTCCGCTTTGCCGGCAGAAAGCTCCCGTGGAGACACCCGCGGCAAAAACGTCTCGAGGGCTTCGAGTCTGGGGTTTGCCGATTTGAGATTTAGGACCATTTAAGATTTATGCAGTGTCCTCAGACCCAGCAGTGCGTTTCCGGAGTTTGATGTTTAAACTTACTTAAGTGCATGTAAAACTCGTATCCTGCGCCCTCTCAGTTTCAGCCTGTGAACACCCCCCTCCTGCCAACTCCAACCTCGCCTTGCCTAGACCGCCTAAACCCCAAACTCCCAAACAATCCCTAAACCCCAAGCCTAAACTACTTGCCTGCCTTGTCAGGAGCACCGGTTCACGTGTGCGGAGGGCGCAATTGCTGTGGTGGACGCGATGAGTTTCTGAAGAAGGCTGAGGAGCTGGTTTCAGACTGCATCGTAGCGCCCCTGCCCCAGCCGGCGCTGAACAAGTGGACGCGCCTGGGGCCGACCATTGCGCGGGTGACGTTGATGTCCCATTTTTGCGGACTTCTAAAGCACGCCATGCAAAAAGAGTTTGGGGGGCTCGCAGAGCGGGTGCATGGTGAAGATTCAGTGGACGAGCAGGCCGAGGCTGTTGGGCTTCCTCTGGACGAAAGAGCAGCTTGGAAGCGGGTTGCGGACAAGCGGCGAGTGAAGTCTGTCGAATTTGTGGCAGATAAAGATGCCAGCTGGGGCAATCTTGTGTGGCTGGTGATCGCGAGCCCGATGCTGGTCTTGCACTGGAAGCTTTTCAAGCATGCAAAGTGGTGTTCCGAAGCGGATTCGACAAATGAAGAACCAGGTCGCATCCTGAAGCAGTTCTGTGTGCCGGCACTGAACCCGGCAGCGGATGTCATCGACAAGCTGTTCGAGCTTCTCAGGGTGCCCAACGAGCGATTGCGCTGCGTGTGTTTCTTTCACGGCCCGTGCACGCAATGGCCACCTGCTCGCCAGCGGGCTTTTCAGCAGCTCGTGCTGCTGGCGGCCGGTCAATTGTGGCGCAAGCTTGTGCTGCCTTGGCAAGCGTACCCGTGGAAGATGTGGCCAATTGTTTGGGGCGAAACTGAGGACGAACGATGCTGTGCAGCCGTGCGATTGCTCGCAGAGCGGGATTGTTGCTTGGACCAGGTTTTCACCCAGAAGCTAAAGTCGTTGGTGCCGGACCCAGAGACTCTGGCATCGGAGTCGACGCGCGAATTCTTGTCGTGTTGTTTCACACGTTTGGTGGTTACTTCCACCTTTGTCGAGCGGCGCTTTGCCAGCTACGGGGCTTGGAACGCCAGACGAGCAGCCACGTGCCGGCTCCCGATGCTTGTGGCCAAGCACGTGACAAGCTGCCTGAAGGAGTTCGTAGATCGCTGGCGACAGCGGGAGCAAGCAAAGGAGAAGCGGGGTTCCAACTGCCGCCCGGTTTGGCAGGAGTCAGCGGTAAAGGGCATGCGACTGACAGGCCTCCACGTATTCACCCAAGAGTGCAGGAACAGGCAGCAAAACGTGTTGCAAGGGGGGGGCGCCTCGTGCTCTAATTTTCTGAGCGAAGTGCGCCAGCAGTGGTCCGAGCTGAGCAAGGAGGACCAGTCGCAGTACTCCCGCCAAGCCAAGGAAAGAAATGCCAGAGCCAGAGCTTTTGCGATGGCCGCAGAACAGGAGGAGGAGAAGACAGGCGGGCCATGGGGGATGGCTTCCTTGCGTGGCCAGTGGCCGTTGCAGGAGGAGTTTTTGAACTCCGTCATGGAAGGCAGTTCTTTCCAGGAGGTTGGTGCCCAGTGGAGGACGGAGCACAGTATGGAGGAGGGGGAGTACGAGAACGTGTCAGACCCCTTGGAGCAGGCAGTCCGTTTGTTTCCCCGGTGCCCGCCTGGCATGTGCGAGGCGGGCCTTACGTCGGCACAAAGCGCAGCCAAGACGCGTCTGCATGCCAACCTCTGCACCTTGGTGCAGGCACATTACCCAACCGCTGACAAGCTTGGTTCGGGCGTACTGGTATTGCGGTTCAAGTCCGTCTGCCAAAAGGTTGCGATGGCTTTCGCTGTTTGTTTTGCGACACGTGAGAAGCCTCCGGAGTGTGCCATGCTGCAACTGGACGCAGGCGACTCAGGCGATGCGGTCGGCGTGCCTGCAGAGCTGTGGCTGCCTGTGTGTTTGGAGCGGGACCCCTTGCCGGGCCGGCCGCGGGAAGCCCAGAAAGCTGCATTTTGGAGCGATCGCGCCCTGGCTGTGCATCTATCCAAGCAAGCGCAAGACTGGTCCTTGAGTGTGTTGCGGCTTGGGGATCCTGCCGGCTCCCTCTCCAAGTTGTTGGTCGTATCAGAAGAGGAGCACACCCAGGAGGCACTAGATGCCAAGCGACGAGAGCTGCTGTTGCAACAAGCAGCATTACGTGCTGCCAGTGCGGCGAGAGCAAAGCAGAGACGTGAACAAAAGGGGGCAGCGCGAAAGCCTAGAGGCAAAGGCGGAAGCAAGCCGAAAGAGACAACATCGACGAAATCCAAGTCGAGTCAGACCTCCGAGAAGCGAAAGCGAGCCCGGTCTGCCGATGCCGACGAAAGCAGCAGCAGTTCCCGGACGGTGCCGCCTGAGGAGTCCGAGTCAGAAAATGATGACGAATCCTCGGACGACCACTGGCTGACGGAGCTTGCAGCGGAGCCGGGTCTGGCTGCGCCAGAGGCGGTTTTGCCAACACGAGTGCAGGCTGCCAGAGCGGCGGACGCGGATCCGGGAGAAGGAGCAGCGGTTGCCGCTTCGCAGGCGGCTGCCGCAGCAGCGGACGCGGATCCGGGAGCAGGAGTGGCGGCTGCCGTTCCAGCGAACGCAGAAGCCGTTCCGATCCTGCCACCGCCGCCTGTTGCCGCTAGACCAGGCGGCCGTCAGAAAGGCCGTACTTGGCAGCGGCGCGGGGATGCGTGGGGCCCTTTCACGATCAGCCCAATTGTGCGGAGTGCAGATGGTCGCGTGACCGGGTATGGTGCTATTTGCGGGCTCCACAAAGACACAGGCCCAGACGGGTCCCGGGTCCAATGCAAGAAGGCGGCAGCCCTGAGTTCGCGCGAAGGGGCAATGACAGCGGATGAGATCCGGGTTGGGCTGAAGCGCTGGTTGATGGCAGGTTTGCTGGACACGGACGAGTGGCCCCCAGACAGAATGAGACGCGCGCACGTCGCTCTGCAGCTCAAGGATCTGGAAGGGGGCCCCTCAGAGAACGAAATGGACAGATGGATGGACAACTTCGTGAGTGATGCTCTAGTCGGCCGCTAGCGACGAGACAGTCAGGGGCAAAACATGACTTTTCGTTGCCGTGTTTGCCGTCCCTCCCTCCCTC